CGGTAAGCGCCGGGGAGAGGGCTGGAGGAGGCCGAGCACGTTGCTGGCGAGCTGCGCTGTGCCCGGCTCAATGAAACGCCTCCGGCTTGGAGGCAAGACTGAAAGAGTGACCGGTGCCCGGCGATTAAAGCAATCTGAGCTCTTGGCACTCGGAGAGCAGCGATTTGCGAACAAAAAAGGCCCTTGTAGTGAATTAATTCTTGAAAACAAAATATATAATTAAATGGTTTAATAGGCTGGAGCCAGCAGATTCCCATACGGGGTGGGGGTCCCTGGGTAGGTGGTGGTGAAGCAGCCGGTGTGATGCCGCTCGGTTTCTGCTGGGTGACATTCCCGTGCGCAGCCCGAGAGCGAGCGGAGGCACTGGCCCCATCATCATCCTCACGTCACGGTGAAGGGGACAGCATCTCCGGCTAGGCGGCTGCATGTCACCTAAAGTCCAGGCAGAGCTTCCCACCGGGCCCCCCAACCCCTGCCGAGTGGTAGCCACAGGGCCAGCGGGAGGGAGAAGCAGGCGCTGGACCCTCCTGGCTCATGTCACACAACGCAGCAGCCTGGTCCGTCGGAGCAGAGGCTCCTCGGCTTTTATTCGATGCAAATCACACCTAAGCCCTTTAAGTAGCTTCTGGGGAGTTTTTTGCATTTATTGTTGATCTCAGATCCTCTCAGACAAGGTTTTGTGTCTTACAGAGCTTCCTCTGCGGGTCCTGCGGTGGGAGGTGATGTGCTTGGGGAGAATACCCTGGAGCCTGTCTAGCCACATACCTGGGACCCGTGCTTTGCATTTCTGGTAGTTTAATTAGCATCGGGCAGAGCCTGGGAGGGAGAAAGCTGGTGTGATTTCACAGATCTCTTTAGTGTTTGCAAGGAAAAGATAACTTGTCATTACTGTTCCTCAGACGGCCTCACCTCTGGTTTGTGTTTTATTTCCCCCCAGTGAAGGATTATTTGCCATCTCCAAAGCTGACCCACAAGCGAGCGTTCAGTGACGACGTTTCCCAAGTCAGCCCGGTCCTGGAGCCCAAAGCAATCCAAAACCTGAAGCCAAAGAACGATCCCGAGTCGCGATCTTCCCTCTGCATCAACGGGAGCCACGTTTACAGCGACGAGCCTGCCCCAAAGAGCCCCGCGCCCGTCCCGCAGAGCTCAGCGCCGCTGGCCGTGCCCAGCCTCCCCCGACGGCAGGAGGAGAGCTTCGGCTTCGCTCCCCTCCACCCCAGCTCCCACCAGGTGCCTTGGGGGGGCAGCGGCTTTGAGAAGACACAGCAGAGAGAGGAGCCCAGGTTCATCCCCTCTCCTCCCACCTTAGCCTTGCAAGAAGAGCTCAAGGTCTCCACGAAAGCCGTCACTCTCAGTAACCACCTGGGCAGAGCCAAGATGGAAGAAACCAGCCGCTTAGAGAACAAACCGACTCAAGCTGCACCACCCATGGTCTTCTCCACGGAAACGCCGAAGGACAAACCACCCGAGGAAATGAGGAAGGAAGACAAGAAAGCGAAGGGCGGCTTCTTCCACCACGGGAGCAACAAGAGTGAGGCGGGGAGCAAAGGCCAGGGGGAGAAAGTGGGACCCTCCCAGGGCTCGTCCGTCCCCGCGGCAGCGGGGGGAGATGAGAGGAATAAAACCAGCGGCTGGTTCGGTTCCAAGGAGTCCAAAGAGTCCCCTCAGAAACCCAGGTCAGTGAAATGGGTGTGTTGACCTCTAGGCCATTAATTAGCTGCCCCAGCCTCCCGTCATCAACAGCTGCGCTGTTAAATGCTCGCCAGCATCAGCGGGGGACCCGTCCCCATTGCTCACACAAGGCGGTAGCAGGGGAGATGCTTCCTTGCTCTGAAATGTCTCAAAGGGAGGGTGGTGTTCCCTGGATCCTCCCCCGGCTTCTGCCACAAACCAACTCCATTTGTGTTTCCTGGGCAGGGAAGGGAGGGATCCCCTTCATGGAGAGGGAGAAGTTTCCCTCTGGGGAGGTGAGGCTCAGCGTGGTCATGCCAACGTGTTTCTGTGCCCTCGAAGTAAAGGATCGTTATCCTTTAATGAGCTAAAAAAGCTTCCCTGGCAGACAGCGTAGGAAGTGGGGCATAGTGACAGCTAATCACTTTTTTTTTTAAATTAACCTCCCACCTCCTCTACGTTGCTGGTCTGGCCTGGGGGTGCAGTACTTTGGTCACTTGAAATATTATGATTTCTAAAGCAACTAATCCCAGCCCTGCTCTTTCCTCTTCCCATCCCACCCCAGCCTTCCCTTCCCTTCTCCCAGTTACGAATCTCTAATTGTTCTCGCTTTACGTGATGATTCATCCCTCCAAAATCCTTAGCGCTGTATTTGCAGCACACCAAACGTGGTGTTCGTGCTGTTTCTGTGCGGGCTTTATCGCGACGGTGCGTCACCCACGTCTGTCCCTGCAGCCCCCGGCGGCCGAGCTGGGGGTCCCGAGGCTGACCGAGAGCCTGGCGGGGGGTCATCGTGGCTCAGAGAGAGGGAGAAAACGGGGTTAAAAGCAGCTAGAGAAAAAGTTCGAGAGCTGGTTGGTTGATTTATTATAGGGATTTTGTACTCTGGGCTGACTTTAACCTCATTTGTTAAGCAGAAGGATTTGAATTCGGTGTAAGCCTCCTTTAATGAGGAGGGCACTCGGGGTTTATTCAGCCCAGCCAGGTTCCCGCACGGGTTAAACCGCTCGGAAAGTGCTGCTCAGACCCAAGTGAGGGGCTGAGCCCATCCCTCAGTCTGGCTCCAGCGCTCCCAGCTGCAGGGCAGGGCTGGGGACACCGAGGCAGGCGGGGG